TTATAATATATAATATGTATACTATTTTGCGTTTATTAGTCATGCTATAACATTTTAGATGAAGATTGCAAAGAGAATTATTTAATCTTGTCTGTATATTAACTTAAATGATCATTTTTGGGTGGGTCTTTTTAGTGCATTGATTATGTGATGCGTTTGAAAACTTTGTTTTAATAAACGACTTTATGTTGTGGCTGTGTTGGTGTTGTTGTTGTTTTATTTAACGATGAAAGCTGCGTAAAGAAGTGGAGGGTATTTGCGCTGCGGCACAACACATTATGTCGCTTGCCGTGAACTTTCGATTTCAAACACACAGGAGGGACACAGAAGTGAACTCAGTTGAGAAAATAAACACAATAAAGATGTTTTAAAATGCCGCCATATTATTATTATTATTATTATTATTATTATTATTATTATTATTATTATTATTGTTATTAATATTATTATTACTGTTGTTTATCAAAGCAAAATGAAGCTTACAATATTTTGATTGAAATTAATTTTTAAAATGTAAATAAATACCTCAAGAAAAAAATTTAAAAAATATTATGGTCAGAAAATCTTAAAAGAAGAGTAAATATGGACATTAGGTGCATGTAAATAGTAAACTGTAGATATAAACAACGTGTAAGTAAGTAAGAAAGAAACGTCCACGAAAACTGAGTGGCATATTTTTTCCCCAAACCTAATCACTAGTAAATATGTATGGGGCAATTTGGTGTCAACCTGACCTACACTCTTTTTTGTTTTGTTGGGGAGGAGGTTAAGGGAGGAGGTGTGGGTGCTCTTTCTTTCAAAGTACCCTTATTTTAAGTCTTTCAGATCCAAGTAAGTATTACTCAGTGAAATCTGTCTAGAAGAGGGAAGAATAAATTGTATCTGGCTGGTGATATTAATGAAAAGCAACGAAAAACACTGGGCATTTTGCATTGTCATATCATATGCAGTTGTTCAATACAAAGACTCATATATTTGAAGGCAAAATATACTTACAGAATATTATCTCAAAAGGCTCCATGTTACTTATGGCCGTTGTTCAAATAGTATGAACGGCATAGTAAGCGTCTAAACATATTACACATCCCTAAACCTAGGATAGACCTTTATAAAACAAGTCTGTCATATTCCGCAGCTCAATTGTGGAACTATCTACCACAGCAAATCAAAAGTACCACTAGTCCATATACATACAATCGGAAACTGTTCGAATATTATCTGAGCACCGATTATGTGCCCCCATAGAAGATAAAACATATGTGAAAAATAGCGCTCATTTTTCTTAGATTTGTTACAACTTATACGTTTTACTGTAGTTAGAAATGTGCACATTCCAGTGCTTGTATTGATTATTTTGATGCTATTGCTAACTTTTAATATTACTTGATTTGTGGATGAAATGATGTAAGAATGGAGGGAGACCTCGAAGGGCAGAATGTTAGACGGGCCTGCGTGCCCAATTCTTAACCCTTTAAAAATAAAGTTTGTTCGTTCGTTCGTTCGTTCGTTCGCAAATGTAAAAGAAAAGTTAATCGAAGTTGCAGAACCAGACCTATTGGAGTTTGCAATTGTTTTCTAGGCAGTTTTACGTGACGTAGTTTGCTATTACTTTCTATACGTCACGTTGCCAAATGGCCTGTCTGTCTGTCTTCTTTTACCCCACCAGGGAATCACACAAGCGATTAACACCCGATGACACAAAGTGCCACCATGTGGATGAGAACGACCCGTGGAGATGTCCCAGAAACCGCGTTCAGCTATTAGACCATATTTATGGCCGGACTATATTGCGGCCCCTGGCAAGAGCCATAGTAAGGGCTTCAAATAACAAAAAATTGCATTCCACAAAGGGATGACAAGAAATTATAAATAACCTGTGTTAGGATCGAACAAAGCACCTCTGCATTACGAGGCGTGTTCGCATCCCATAAGCTACAAACACCAACAGCACTGTTTCACTATGTTTGTATTCAGACTTCTTGGATATCACCCCCTAATGGTTATTGATATTTGGCCTCCCATTAAAGTTCTCAGACTCCAGGCAAGCAATGTTGTCCTAGTTACCCGATCCGTCATACAAAATGTTCGGTTATCTGGGATCACTTGATAGCTACCTCCCTTGAAGTTTCAACTATATTCAACCCCGTGTTGATTTTGTGATAATTCTTACTCTGTGCTTCTCTCTCTCTCTCTCTCTCTCTCTCTCTCTCTCTATATATATATATATATATATATATATATATATATATATATATATATATATATATATATATATATATATAGGTACCACCGCCCCTGTGTGTGTTGCGTACGAGCGCGCATTTAAGAGTGTGATTGTGTGTTGTTGTTTTTTTTTTTTTTGCCTTTATAGCGTTGTCGACCCCCCGGACATTACAGTGCACCTGGCACTGTCTTCACAGCCACTTATAGATAGAAGTGTTGAATTATAGTTTATGCACAAATTTCCATGGGTCGCCTGTCTTCACACACACACACACACACACACACACACAGGACATTCTCTTTGTAGATTAGGCGGTATGGAAGGGGGGGGGCACCTAGTAATCTACCTTAGTATTGGTCCCCTGTCTACATAGACCCCTTGGGACAACTGCTCATTTTACCCTTGTGTTTAAGCAGCATTTTATATCTACAAATATATGTATAAATATATATATATATAGGTGATTGTCTATCAAAATTGGGCGGCAAAGGTTGGGAGGAAGGGGGGCACTTTGTGCTAGTATATATAAAGCCCAAGAATAACGCGGGGTGGAGAAAGAGCCCAGAATTCAATGCTGTCTCCTCTGATTTTTTCCTTTTAAAAAAGCACAATCACAGGAAATAAATCATTGGACATCGATTGAGGCCAACCTTCACTGTGGAGACGTTAAATTATGACTGATAGTTTTTTTTTTTTATTACCCCAGTTGTAACTTTACCGGAAGTTTGCACCTCATTGTTGATGTGTCAACATGCTCAAACATTTCAAAGGCCACAGGAGGACTGATCATCACACAGTGACAATTATGTCAATCTACAACCCAGGTTCCCAAGCTGAACGTTCCCTTTAAAGGGCTCGGTGTAGAGCACACAGTTTCGTCTCAGCTGGTGCCCTTTATCTACGTCATTCAGTTACATGCTTCAACTATGAGGGAGACGTTGTTTTAATTGAAACCAGGGATTCCCAAATTATATAAATGGGTGGGAGCACGGCTTTTGTTAGGCCCTGCTGCTGCCGATGGTTCTTATGGCGCATTGTGCTAGGCCCTCAACCAACTCACACTAAATCTTTTTTTTTTTTTAAATATTGCGTGCAGCTTACCTCATGTGTGACTCCTCAATCCAGATGTTACATAGTGTGATCAACTGACGGCAAGACACTGGTTAAAAAAAAAAGCTCGAGATAACCAACGTGACCATATGACAGGACAAACTGACGGTACACTCAGAAAAAGACTTAAATGATTGATGGCTTGTAAAGGTCAGGGCGACTATGTCGGACACAACTGTGTGGTCGGTCTGCTTGGAAATATTCTTTTTTTTTAATATACTCTTTTCTTCATCATCTTCTTTTTCCTCTTCTTTTTCTTCTTCTTCTTCTTCTTCTTCTTCTTCTTCTTCTTCGCCATCTTCTTCTTCTTCTTCTTCGTCTTCCACTCTTCTTCTTTTGCGTTCTCCCTTAAAAGAGCAGCTGACAATAGCTGTAGCTTATAACTAGGTTGCGATATCTACACATTCGGCCTAAAACATCAAGTTTCAGAAAACTCCTACGACATGCTTGTTGGGGAAGCAGTGGGTCTATTATTGTTTTCTTCACAATAGGGCTCCAGAATCCACACGAGTGAAAGCTCATAGTATGAATGTAAAGTAGAAAATACAAAATTATCGTTGGCAAGAGAGATCATGTGAGAGAAAGAAATAGAAGAGAAAGACAGAGCGAGGAAAGGTTTCTTAAGTGAAAGTATAAGTGGCATAGACTGAGTTTGATTTAAATCTGTAGAGGTGGAATAAGGTCCAAATACATACGTAATAATAATGATGATGATGATGATGATGATGATGATGATGATAATAATCTCATCCCTATGCCATTGCCTTCCTTTTGTATTTTGCGATGACTAGAAGTAGAAATAGTAGGAGAGGATCCATCTGTGCCCAAACAATAACAAAGATATTAATAACCAGCACCAGTGGTTTTTTTTTTTTTTTTTTTTTTTTTTTTTTTTTTTTTTTTTTTTTTTTTGAAGTTATCCAATTTTTAACAGTTTTCTAATTGTCTGAATGTGTCCAAACACATCGCCAACAAATGATTTGATACGCTGGTTAACAATAGCAATGTGTGGGTGCCATTTCTCCATGAAAACCTGCACTTTTGCCGAAGTGGACAGCCACTCCTTAATTTTAGCACGTAGGACCGGCCCGTCATCTTCTGTTACCTCGTCTGATGAAATTTCTCTTATTGCCTCAGCTTCCTGTTCTTTCATAAACTCATGTAGTTCTTATGTTGTGAGATCCGTTCGACGATTCTCCTCGCCGGCCACGTCGAAAGTGAAGCGAATGTTGACTTTTCGGGCACACAGCAAACAAAAATTTTAACGACATAGGTCGCATTGGGGGGGGGGGGGGGGGGGCGAATGGTGGCGTTTAATAATAATGGAGTTCCACTATATTTTTTTTCCTACTGCTTTGCTATTTGTATTACTCTCATTGCAGTTGGAGTTATCCTTGTTGTTCTGCTGCTAATGTTGCTGTTACTACTGCATTTCCTTTAATTAATGTTATCCGATAAACTCTCCTATATATTACTACAACAGCAGCTGGTAAACAGTCTGCAACATAAGCTTTGTAGATCATATAGATAAAAGTCACGTGTAGCTGTGTGCTGTCGCACATTGTAACTCTCCAGTGGTTTTAAAACACCAGTGACGTTGATAAATGTCTAAGTGTCAATATCGTGTATCAACATTCACTTATTGAATGAACACCCAAGTGTACCAATGGTTCACAAATCTGTGTTTGTTACTTCAGTAGTTTATATAATTATAAAAAAAGCGTTAATAGCTTTTTTTTTTTTTTTTTTTGCGATATTAAAAGACATATACATATATTGTGCTTTTACTTTTCTTGTTCTTTTCGATTTGTTTTTGCATCATTTTCAGATTTTTTTTCTTTTTGACCGTGCATTTACCTATGGCTTGGATCATTTAACCAGGCGGACTCCAATTCAAGTACGTTTTAGGCGCAACAGGTTTTCTCGACGTGTGTGCTATCCAAAGCCAGCGTCTTTTCCTCATATCTTGTTCTCTGGAATTTTCTAGTTATGTTATGTTAGTCTCATATTTTGTTATACACTAATCGGAACTAGGGGAATGCTTTGATCAAGGATAGACCTATATTTTAATAGACCAACAGCACAAGATGGGTAATAAGGTCAGCATCATACCGACTGCATTTACTTGTTGGGACTGCACCCGGTACCCACTCAAGGCTGGGTCGACCTGGGAGACAAGGTCATTTTTGAAAAAAGTCTGGCTCCGTCAGGGAGCGAACCCACGACTTTTCCGATCCACGGTGAGCGTCTAGCAATTCTTTTGCTACAGAAACTTGCAGGGATGGAAGCCATTCTTATAAACAAGGGATCAATTGGTGCGTGGTGCACAGTGTCAATCGCATCCGATTCTTTGCTCCAAAACGATATGGTCAAGTTCAACCAGCATTTCTGAAGGGGGAGCTTTAGGTTATAATTGTGACTAGGTTATGTCCGCCATATAAGATGGCTTAGCACTGTACGCAATCAAAAGCCCTGAAATGGACTCTACAGTGTTGATACGATCAAAGAGACAGAGCGAAATACTATCCCGACCGGTGACGAAGTCGTCTACCGGCCAGCCATTGGGTGACCCGGTCGCCGCTGTGTTACAGAGTCCATGAATGACGGCTGCGTATGAAAGTTGCTCTGCAGAACGAGCAGAGAATCATCAAACAGACACTAGCATGGAAAAGAAAGGAACTGAAAAGACGAGGACGTCTAGAAGAAACCATCCAATGAACGTTGATGAAAGAGGCTAAAGGTGCTGGACTAGATTACATCCATTATATCAGCGGCATTGCACGGGATACATCTGAGTAAAGGAATAGACTGTGAATCATATATATAGCAAAAAATAGCTCAACAAGACGAGGACGATGATGATGATGACGATGATGATGCTGATGATGATGATGATGATTTTAGTCATAAGCAAGGATGTCGCAAACGGACCCCAATATTTATTGGCTGTTTATGGTTTTATTGTAAAGTAAAGGACCCTTTTCCACGCCTTCAGGAGTAAGCCCCATGACCATAAACCTCTACATGCTCAATATAGGTGTTTATGGTTTTACTAGGCAGTTTCACGTCTAGAAGTTTACCATTAGTCCCTGCACTAAGTGGTTCACAATTGGTCGTGTACCGACACTGCACAAGGCAGATGTGATCTCTCGCCTGTGGGACGAGGCAACAATTAAAATGGAAGACATTGAAAACCCGCATCTGGAGACAATAATGCACAAAGGGGTGTCTGCGGCCCTATGCGCCACTAGACCAGGAGGGAGGGGAGGGGAAGGGGTGCTAAAACAAGCAATTAACCAAAAGACAATAGGTACCATAATTATGGAGACTTTGCTGGCTGTTAAGGAGGGAGGCAAAGCAAATATGAGCTTGTCCTGAACGCTGTGATGTCGAATCTTTACCCAGATTAACCCTGCACGGACAACACTCATATTGCTGTCAAATTTCACGACTTCTGCTTTGCTACCAACTTTCCTGCAGTAAACTCGAACGTGGTGTCTGATATGTACTGGCAGGATTGATGGAAAGAAAGCAGAAGGCGAAGGGAGGGAGGCCAAAGAGATAAATAGCTGGATGGCTTAGTCAAACGGATGGGGCGAGACAAGAAAGCTGACCGTATCTCTGATTATGATCATCGTATAAGCCGTATGACACAGATGTCGACACTTCAAAACTTGCATGCCAAAACAGCATACATATGCCAACACATGATACTCCCATCACACAACAGGATACGATAGGACACGGCCGGCTGTATTTATACTGCCTGTGGACTCGGATAAGACATGAGCAGGAGGTCCAGAGATTATTCCGGCTAAACCGATCCTCTCTTGTTGAGCCACAGATTAAGAGGTCTTAGTGGTTTTCTCTTTTAAGAGAAGGCCTGAGGTAAAGTTTGATAGATCCGGCGACAGCTTAGAAATTGATCATGCAATTGTTATAAGACATGTGGGAATGCCCTATGAGGTAGGGTATAATCTTCACCTGTCCGCAGCTGTCAATCGTTGTGTGTGTGTGTGTGTGTTTTAAATTTCTTTTGAATAATACATCTATAAATTAGTTTGGGGGGAGGGGTGGGGGAGTGTCTGTGGCGAGATGGTCAAGACGTTTGCTTCGAGCTTTGAAGCTCGTGGGTTCGTTTCACAGCCGCGTTGATAGTCGATTATTATAGAGATCCCTATGGATAGTCGCCGGAGCTACGGAGGCCGTGCTCTGTACGACGCCCTCGGCAGGCAGCTAGCTATTCTGTGGATAGAGACTGAGCCATATGGGATCGAATCTGGTTTAATAAAGTAGATCATCTCATCTTGACCTTTACCTAACTAGGTCTCAAATGAATGTTTTTTGGCAATGCGTATAAATTAATTTCTCAAGTTATTTTATCAGTGTATATGTTTTCCAGCAAAAGTTGTGTCTTATGTGCGGACTAACAGAACGAACGGAAAATAAACTCAAAACAACTTTTTCCTGCTGTGAACAATTTATTGTCTGGCATATTTCGGTGTACCTCGTCAGGTGCATACTACAGTAATAACTGATTAAAGTAAATGAATACTTTAAAAAAATAACATAGTTAAATGTTGAGAAATAAAGACATTTTTGAAGCTATAAAGACAGACAAGCATGCATGCAGGCATGCTTGAAGCCCGGCAAACAGGCAGACAGATATTATGAGTCAGAAAATAAATCGGAAAACGAATACATTATATTTACTAGAAGATACTCAAATAAACTGCAAAACTTACCTTCAAGTGGAAATTTTGATGTCCTACAGCCGGCCCAAATATGTCTCATCGTCAAGGCAAAACTAAGATGACAATCTGACCAGCAACACACAGCATTAACAGGCCCGCCACAAGTTTCTAGACTCAGTGAACCGCCGCAATGTGTGAACGTGTGGTTTGAAACAAGACGCGTTGGACATATAGCAGGTGGCAAGCACGGAGACAATCAGTAAGGCACTACAACAATGCTGTTGACTGGACGATCTTCCATTTTAGCCAGCCTTGGACACGTGTTGAAGCGTGAGGGCGGAGACAACTACCGCAACTTATGGGCATACTTGTGTATGCACACACGTTAGGCGTATGGATATGCTGTAGCGGGAAGTTCATTTACAGTATTTGGTTCACAGTCAAAATTCCGTTTGAAAATTGGGACAACGACAGAATTGCTTTAGGTTTTCGCATTGTTTCGCGGAGGAGGACCACAATAAGTCTAAGCCTTGTTTAAGCGCTTTATAATAATGTGATGAATGACTAGTTGCGTATCCTTAAAAATATGTTATAGAACCAACCCTAGTATACATATATATATATATTATATAATATATATATATATATATATATATATATATATATATATATATATATATATATATATATATATATATATATATATATATTTTGCTGTTGAGATTTTTCTAGGCAAATTTTACGTTGACAATTTGCCATTGCCTCTAAACGGTCAGCTCTTGGTACCACTGTCGAAATCAACGCAAGACAAACCGTCTACAGCTGGGATCGAACCCCACACCCTGGCATTACGAAGCGCGTTCGCAGCGCCTAAGCCACAGACGCCGACGGTGCATCGCATGGTGTACAAAGCCAGTTTTTAACATATGGCTGTGAATCCTGGACAATTAATAAACAAGCCAAACAATTTCTTGACACTTAAGAGATGCTGTTTTGCAGAAGAATTCACTACACAGCTAAAAAAAAAAGGAAAAGAGGTGGTGGGAAACCCGAATGCTTTTGTCATATTAGAAGACAGATTTTTGGTCATGTTAAGAGAAGAAATAAACTGGAGCATGTTGTGTCAACTGGAAAAATTTGTGAGACAAGAAAAGGGGGAGGCAGCGCGAGAAGATTCTTGACAGCCTGTTATCATGGCATAGAAGGGTGTCAACATAGGAATTGATACGTGCTTTTAGAGATTTGAAATTGTTGGGAGGACTGATCATCCGCGCCAGTCAGCAAGGCAGCCGATGGCGGTGGTGATGATGATGATGATGATGATGATGATGATGATGATGATGATGAAATTTCTCCAAGTTTTTATTTTTTTTATTTTTATTTTTCTCCTTTCTCCATATTTTGTTTCGTAGTATAGCCCATCGTGCCAAATTTTTTACGTATGTGGTGGTTTCAATGTGATGGTGGTTGTTTACATTCTCTGTTGTCTTGTCCGTTGAGTTTTCCAGTCACAATTTGTATTGTGCTTAGTTCTCCGTTGATAGAGACTTTGGCTGAATCTTTCGGTTGTTGTATTTGTGAGCACCTTTTCCTCACCCTCCGCTGAGCTTTCTAGTCACATTTTATGTTGTATATAGTGTATTGACTTTGTGAAATCGGTAGCTTAATATTTCGTGTCAGCTTTCTTGATTGGAAGAAGGGACAGGCGGTGCGCCGAAATACGCGAATGTCGACATGCATGACTTTGTCAAGTGAGATTTTAAAATGCCACTTTAAAAAAATCTACGGGTTACCTTTTTTTTCTGCAGATAATGTTCATTACTCTGTGATCTTTGACCTTTAACGGCATTACATTAAACATCTCCCCTGGGGGGGGGGGGTGTATATACTTTTCGCTTTAAAGCGAACCCAATAATTTACTTCAAATTTGTATTTTTCAATCTTGGTCTCACCCCCCCCCCCCCCTTTCTCCCCTGTATTCAAAACTTGAAGGGGTGGCTGGTAAATTGTATTGTGGTTTACATACATGCGCATGTGCTTAAAGTGTGAGAATCTCAGGGCAGTGCACGAACTCTGTTGCACCGGTGAGGGTAATCAAATACTTTGGGTAGATTTTTAACCATAAATTTTGCCTGGGCAGCGCCGTTAGGCTAATCTTTTCGATTTCCAAGTGCCAAGGAATTTTTTACGTGCGCAACAATACACACGGGCGACCGGTCTTACTATTTAGAGAC